TGAACCTTTAACTACTAGTGGAGCCGGCTTACCAACTCAAAGATTGTAAAATACGATAGGAAAATAATAAAAACTGTCTTACAATCTAGGTAGAAAACTCGAGGCCTCGTAGCCACAGTGAAGAGACCAAAGACCACGCATGCGCACAATTAACAAAGGAAACCAGGGGAAGTGACACACGAACCGCAAGGCGGAAACAAGTGGTCTAGCAGATGTAATTAACAGTGCCCCGACTGCTAATGACGTGCAAAATCAGGCATTAAACAATGTTGAATCAGTAGTTCAAACCACCGGAACACCATTTGTTGTCAATACAGTGAAGTCCGATTACGCCGCCTGTACTTTCAAGCTCTAAAAACCAAAGCTGCCTACTTTTTCCGGAAATGTACGAGATTATGCAATCTTCCGTTTCGGCTTCAAACACGTGATTGAGGCCAATTATTCACCTAGAGATGCAGTCACGCTGATAAGCCGTTAGAGCTCATAAAGGGAATTGGAACCAATTACGTTGTCGCTTGGGAGTACTTAGACTCCATTTATGGGGATCCGCGATTCGAGTCAGACACTATCACACAAGATATTATCCAATTTAAAGCACTACATAAGGGGAAGATGTGCGTTTTTGTAACGTGGTACATCTCGTGAAGCGATGTTACAACTCATTATAGGAAGTTGGCCTGCCGAGTGATACGGATAATAGCCATATGTTGTCCAGCAGAAGACATGTGCCGACGATCGAAAAGTCTGGACCAGAGATCTTGAGAAGGAAAAGAAACCCGCCACACTACACGCGTTGATGACCTGAATGACTGTAGAAATGAAGTCGAGAATGCGCGCCACAGCCCCGATCAGAGTTGGTACACACAACAAGCGTATCAGCCACCTAAGAGCTAATGGCGACGACAATGATCAGCTACCCTGGTACAAATGTTGGTTGTGCAAAACCTCAACACACTGGCCCGACCAGTGTCAGAAATTTGTAGCCCTCAGCATCGATGAACACATCAAGACCGCCAAAGCTAACCACGTGTGTTTTGGCTGTCTGAAAAGGGCTGGAAGGGACCACAGAATGGATAATTGCAGCCGAGGCCGACGGTGTACAAAGCAGAGAATGGGACTCAGTGTCCACACAACCATCGTCAGTTACTTCACAGGACCATTGCCATCAAAATTGGCGTCGCTATGGCAACCAATACTAAGAAAGCTATCCTACCAGTCCTCTCTGCGAATACTGTCGGCGCAAATGGTCTCTTCAAACGTGGAAATGTCCTACTAGAATCAGGCGTGCTGAATACGACAGGAAACTGCGGAGACTCTTGGTTTAAACGGGAAGGATGCATCTATAACCATCATTAATTAAAGTTGGCGGAGAGGAAGAAACGATAAAGACGAAAGTGTACAAAGTTAAACTAACTTCAATTGATAATGATAAGAGATTCATGGTAAAGGCAATCAGCATTCCTACTATCAGCGAAGAGATCACCGCAGTCAAGACTTCGCACATACCGGAGCTTCTGGGTCTACAGAATACGAAATTTCGCCGTGGCCAAGGACAGGTTGACCTTCTTATCGGTATTGAACACATACATTTCCATGCTGGTGAGACAAGACACGTTGATCATCTGCTATCCCGTAATTCCCCACTCGGATGGGTAGTGTTTGGAGGAGAGCTAGAAGAAACCTCTGATGTGACACGTAAATTACACGTAAAGTTTGCCTTCCCAGTAGACTTGTCTCACTTCTGGGAGACGGAAGCTATGGGTATGGAGATAAAGCCTTGTATCTGCGATGCGGACAAGTTGATGCAAACTGAACGAGAGGAATCTGAACTGATAGAAAAGTCATGCATGAAGGTCAACAATCAGTGGATGATCCTATAACCGTGGAGAAAGGATCCCAATCTGCTCACGAAAACTGTCGGAGGAAGAAGAGAAGGCGTACCAAGGCCCTGTCCACTACATTCCACACCATGCAGTGCTACGGCCAGACGAAAAGAGCACGCCAGTCCGAGACGTTTTTAATTTGTCCTCTGTGTATCAAGGACACACACTTAATGATTATTGAAAGAAAGGCCCTGATCTCCTAAATGGCATATTTGGAGTTGTTTTGAGATTCTGAGAGAAAAGAGTTACAGTAATGGGAGACATTTCCAAAATGTACCACAGGATACTAATTCCCGAGCGAGATCAGCATGTCCACCGGTTTTTGTGGAGAAACCTGGAAACTAACAGAGCTCCCGTCGTGTATGTCGAAACAGTTCTCACTTTTGGGGACAAGCCTGCACCCGCCATGGCGCAAATAGCATTGCGAAAAACTGCTCAAGACAACAAGACCGATCACCCAGAAGCAGCTGAAGTACTTACAAACGATACGTACATGGATGACAACTGCGATTCAGCGGACACTGCTCAAGAAGCTCGGAAATTAATGGAAGACATAGACGAGGTCTTCAAGACTGGAGGGTTTAACGTCAAGGGTTGGATCTCCAACAAGAAGCTTGCAGAGAAAGATAATAATGAGATAGAGAAAGGAATGAACGTATTTCAAGGAGGAGAGGAGAAGGTCCTAGGAACCTCGTGGAATTTCAAGACAGATAAGTTCTTCTTCAGAGTAAAGGCAGATATCCTGAAGTTAGTAGATAGACCGAGTCATGTACCAGTAAAGATGACGAAGGGGATGATCCTAAGTCAAGTTGCTCGGATCTACGAACCCATTGGTTTCGCTGCCACGTTTATAATCAAAGAGAAAATCGGTATGCAACAGCTGTGGCAACTGGGACTGGATTGGGACGAGGAGCTACCGCCTGCAGTTCAGGACAACTGAATTTCACTGATTTCACTGTTTCAAGAGATGAAAGTGCTGGAAAACGTGTCCTTCGAGAGAACTTTATGCGCCGAAAATTCCGTGGATCCATCAGTGTTGTTTGCCTTCGCCGCAGACGCATTGTAGGACGTATTTGGAGTATGTGCTTACCTGCGTCATAGACAGGATAACGACACCTATACAGTAAATTCATAGCAGCAAAGTCAAGAGTAGTACCTTTGAAGCCGCCCACCATCCCACGCTTAGAGCTACAGGTAGTCGTCCTAGCAGGTCGCCTAGCAAAAGTCATTCAAAAGGTGTCTAGTGTTCAGTTTGGAGATGCAAAGTTCTTCACTGACAGCACAATCATCTTGGCCTGGATCCAAAGCCCGTCTCGCAATTTCAAGCTGTTCGTGTCCTCAAGGGCTGGGAAATTCAGAGTAACTCAGATCCAAGTCAGCGGATGCATATCCCAAGTGAAGACAACGTGGCTGACGACCTGTTACGAGGGATCCATGTGAATGCACTAAATGAAAGGTGGATGAACGGCCCAGCGTTTCTACGTCCACAAGAAAGCTTGTGGCCAAACCGGATGACTTCCCTACCCACTCCGGATAAAGACATGGAGCGTCGCCAGATTGTCGCAACGGTCTCAACTGTGAAAGGCAAAGATATAATTGATCCGTCCACCTTCTCCACTTGCACTCGCTCTATGATTGGTCGTTAGCAAATGAATTATATTTTCAGCCTAAAAAGTGCAGTAATCTACGTATATCGAGAGAGCGCATGAGCCCCATCGTAGCTATATATTAAATGGTATAGATTTGGAGGTTATCTCAACTGAAAAAGATTTGGGGATTATAATTGCAAAGGACACCTCCTAGAAAGAATACTTACTTATGATAGTTGCTAAAGCAAATAGGCTTCTAGGTTTTCTTAAAGGAAATTGCGCAGGGTTGGTTGGTGAGGGCCCACTTTTGCGGCTTTACTGCTCCTTAGTGCGTTCCCATTTTTGTTATTGTTCTTAGCTATGGGCACCTTAGTCTAGTATTAGTGATTTACTCTTAATAGAAAGGGTACAGAGAAGAGCCACAAATTTTATTGTTAGAAATAGTACCCTATCCTATAAGGGTCGTCTTGTTGGGCTTAAACTATTACCACTTAACTATTGGTTTGAGTATTTAGATCTCATATTCTTGTTTAAATGTCTTCATGGACATATAGATCTAACCCGACCGATCGATAATTATTTTTCACCTGTTACCAGTCAGACTCGCCCAGGATGCTCAGCTTTTACCCTTAAACTAAATATGAGCAAAACATCTACTTTTCGAGACTTTTATTTAATTACAATTATCCCCTTGTGGAACGATATTCCAGTTGATGCTAGGCAGTCAGACTCCCTTGGCTCTTTTAAGCGCAAGCTTAAGGAGTTTTAATTTAACAGACTCTTAAATGTCTTTGATGGCGAAAATTATCGCACTTTTAATATTATTAGTCCTAAATGTCGTCGGATAAATATCCACTCGGTCTGTAGCTGTTAGTTTCTAGTTATTGTCTTCTTTTTGTGTACATTTAGGAGATAGAGGGGATGGGATGCTAAGTTTTTGAGAGTTGTGTTGGTATTTAAACCTAGTAGGGGACTCATGTCCTATTGTTTATATACCACTACTTTGTACAAATCCTTAAATAAATAAATAAATAAATAAATAAATTCGCGTAACAGCAAGAATACGCAGGCTAGCAAGCAAGCACAGAAAATCCTGCACAGTCGGCTAGAGAAAGGTGAATTCAAGTCTCTCAGTCCCTCCATAGATAACAATGGAATAATCAAAGTTGGGGGCACAATCGACGAAGCCATAGTGTCCTACGAAGGGAAACATCCCGTACTCCTTCCCAACGAACACAGAACATCCCTGCTGATAACAAGCAGCATGCACATGTATGGGCACACTGGAGTAGCGACCACAACAGCAAAGACAAGGAGGAAATACTTGATTCTCAAGGCGAACAGGCTGAGTAAGTTTGTGAAGTCCAAATGTGTATTTTGTCGAAAAATGGCACACAAGGCAGAGACGCAGCGGATGGCAGATTTCCCTTTAATTCGCCTATTAACACAAACCCCACCCTGCAGAGGGGTATAATCCATGAAGATAAGAACTACGCCTTTATCGAGGCGGAGAATATTTCGTTTAAGGTGGTATGATACCTTAAAAAAGGCAAAAATTTCGAAGTTTTATCTAAAAATTTTTATTGCTGGAAAAGGTCCGTATTTCACTTGGTATTAACGCCACAGTTTAATTTTTGATGAAAATGTTATTTGTTGTCCAGTATTTACTCATTTTTGAGACCAGGTCTTTGGTTGCCAGGGGCAACAGGTTTGTTTTTATCTTGTTTACAGTGAAGAAACAATCCCCCAATAGTTGTTTTCGCCCGGAAAACGATCGTTGCGTGACAAGGGACTCTCTGTTACCCCGTACATAACAACGATTAGCCCATCGTAGTTGATGAGCCTGCGAAACACGAAAAATTGTCGTTGCGAAATTCACAACAATACTAGTGGCGTGGCGTTTTGAGTTTTTTATCCTGTTTCTCGTTCTTTTTTCACGTTAACAACCATGCCTCCGAAGCATCGTGCAATAAGGCGTCCTAAAAGGAAGTTTTCGGGAAATCAATTCACGAAACCTTCGAAAGAAAATGCCAAGAGGACGAAAGAAGCGAAAGAAGAAGCACATGGTTCGAACACCCTCGGTCAACATACTAAGAAGTCTGTGTCTTCGGAAAAGCTTTTGCTTAAGTCCGATGCCATGGAATCAAAACCTGGCAAAGTTGAAGAACCTTACGAAGAGGAGGCAACATTAACGGGCTTCAGGTTTGTCGACATGGAGCTACTCGGCATGGCATTTTCTGCCATGAGGTGTGCTGATTGTGGAGAATTCAGCATCGTGCTTTCGGAAAACCACTTAGAAAGTAAGGGATGTGCTTCGAGTCTTCGAGTCTTTTGCGAGAGTTGTGGCTGGAAACATGAGTTTTGGACATCTAAAAATGACAGCAATTGAAACATCAGAATTTAGAAGTACCGAGTTCTAAACAAGAGAAGGCAATAGAATAAATCGTTGGATTGTGGTTTCAGCCAGATACTCAATATGTAATCAGAGGGTGCAGATCGTATTTTTAGACGGTCTGTTGCAACTCACAAGCTTCGTTATACTGACTTGTATTCAGATGGTGACAGCAAAAGTTACAATAGAGTCAAGGATGTTTACTCTGCAGATGGAATACAAATTGCTAAGAAAGAATGTATAGGACATGTGCAAAAACGAGTTGGCACAGCACTCAGAAAACTAAAGAAAGAAACTCCTGCTCTCGGTGGGAAAGGAAAACTCACTGATGCCATGATTGACAAACTTCAGAACTACTATGGAATTGCTATTCGTTCTAATGTTGGAGACTTGAATGGAATGAGAAAGGCAATACATGCAAGTTTCTTCCATTGTGCCTCAAGTGAACGGCGTGATCTTCACACCCACTGTCCAACTGGACCCTCGAGCTGGTGTGGTTTCAAGCGAGACAGAAACAGTTTTAAACATTCTCCTGGTTTGCCTGATGCTGTGATTGCAAAAGTCAAACCTGTATACCAAAGATTAAGTGAAGATTCTTTGTTAGAAAAATGCCTCCATGGAAAAACCCAAAACCAGAATGAAGCTGTAAATGGAATGGTGTGGGAGCGCATTCCCAAGGAAGTTTTCGTGGGAGCTGACTTGCTGGAATTTGGCTTGTTTGATGCCATAAGCCACTTCAATATTGGAGCAAGGACTGTTCTACTGCTTCTAAAAGCACTCAAAATTTCCCCAGGAAAATACACAGAAGAGGGGTGTAGGCACCTTGACATGGATCGAATTCGTGGTGCTGAGTACAAACACAGCGAGGAAAGGAAAAAGAGGAGAAAGGTCCTAAGGGGACAAAGAAAGAAGAAAGAAGACAAGAACCAACAAGCAGAGGGTGTTACTTATGCTGCTGGAGCATTTTAAGACACTTCCTTTGCTCAGAGATTGAACAGAGGGTTTTCAAACCCAAATACAACTTTTAAATGCATTTTTCCATCAAACTGCATTTTGATAGAACTCCGAGTAGCTCAACATGTTCAGTTCAAAAACTATTTAAGATAATTTCATGAAATTTTCCACAGAAAATCTTGAATGGTGTTTCTGTGCAGTAAACCTAAAACAAAGTACAAAGGTAAATTGATGATTCAATGGCAGGCAAATTTTTTTCCAGAAGGGGCCCATTATTTGTTTATGTGAAAGTTTTTCATTATTTGACATGGTTATAATCATGTTGTATAAAATGCTTTAGGTTCATTGCACAGATCCATCTATGCATAAGACATCCTGAAAATTTCAGAGCCATGGGATTTTTTGTTATAGAGTTATTGTTGTNCATGGCTCGAACACCCTCGGTCAACATACTAAGAAGTCTGTGTCTTCGGAAAAGCTTTTGCTTAAGTCCGATGCCATGGAATCAAAACCTGGCAAAGTTGAAGAACCTTACGAAGAGGAGGCAACATTAACGGGCTTCAGGTTTGTCGACATGGAGCTACTCGGCATGGCATTTTCTGCCATGAGGTGTGCTGATTGTGGAGAATTCAGCATCGTGCTTTCGGAAAACCACTTAGAAAGTAAGGGATGTGCTTCGAGTCTTCGAGTCTTTTGCGAGAGTTGTGGCTGGAAACATGAGTTTTGGACATCTAAAAAGCAGACTTTAAGTTTTGAGGCGAATAGGCGTTTAGTGTATTCCATGAGATCGATAGGAAGAGGGCACAGTGGAGCGAAGAAATTTTGCTCATTAATGAATATGCCACCGCCTCCAACAGCAAGGGCATATCAAAAAAATGCAAGAACGATTGCTAAACATGTGAAAGTTATTGCTAAGGATGGTATGTCCAGTGCAGCAAAAGAAATCAGGGATGCCCAGCATGCTCGTGAAGATGATTTAGTGAATTGTGGCGTTTCATGTGACGGTACCTGGCAGAAGAGAGGATATTCTTCACAGAATGGTTGCGTGATTGTCATGTCAATTGATACTGGTAAAGTTTTGGATGCAGAACCTCTCACTAAAGTTTGTAAAAAATGTCAGCTTCACTCCCATTTAGATAAAGACAGTGAGGAGTACCATAGATGGAGGGCAGAACACAATAACTGCAAAGCTAATTATAAGGGCTCTGCCCCAGCCATGGAATCAGAGGGTGCAGATCGTATTTTTAGACGGTCTGTTGCAACTCACAAGCTTCGTTATACTGACTTGTATTCAGATGGTGACAGCAAAAGTTACAATAGAGTCAAGGATGTTTACTCTGCAGATGGAATACAAATTGCTAAGAAAGAATGTATAGGACATGTGCAAAAACGAGTTGGCACAGCACTCAGAAAACTAAAGAAAGAAACTCCTGCTCTCGGTGGGAAAGGAAAACTCACTGATGCCATGATTGACAAACTTCAGAACTACTATGGAATTGCTATTCGTTCTAATGTTGGAGACTTGAATGGAATGAGAAAGGCAATACATGCAAGTTTCTTCCATTGTGCCTCAAGTGAACGGCGTGATCTTCACACCCACTGTCCAACTGGACCCTCGAGCTGGTGTGGTTTCAAGCGAGACAGAAACAGTTTTAAACATTCTCCTGGTTTGCCTGATGCTGTGATTGCAAAAGTCAAACCTGTATACCAAAGATTAAGTGAAGATTCTTTGTTAGAAAAATGCCTCCATGGAAAAACCCAAAACCAGAATGAAGCTGTAAATGGAATGGTGTGGGAGCGCATTCCCAAGGAAGTTTTCGTGGGAGCTGACTTGCTGGAATTTGGCTTGTTTGATGCCATAAGCCACTTCAATATTGGAGCAAGGACTGTTCTACTGCTTCTAAAAGCACTCAAAATTTCCCCAGGAAAATACACAGAAGAGGGGTGTAGGCACCTTGACATGGATCGAATTCGTGGTGCTGAGTACAAACACAGCGAGGAAAGGAAAAAGAGGAGAAAGGTCCTAAGGGGACAAAGAAAGAAGAAAGAAGACAAGAACCAACAAGCAGAGGGTGTTACTTATGCTGCTGGAGCATTTTAAGACACTTCCTTTGCTCAGAGATTGAACAGAGGGTTTTCAAACCCAAATACAACTTTTAAATGCATTTTTCCATCAAACTGCATTTTGATAGAACTCCGAGTAGCTCAACATGTTCAGTTCAAAAACTATTTAAGATAATTTCATGAAATTTTCCACAGAAAATCTTGAATGGTGTTTCTGTGCAGTAAACCTAAAACAAAGTACAAAGGTAAATTGATGATTCAATGGCAGGCAAATTTTTTTCCAGAAGGGGCCCATTATTTGTTTATGTGAAAGTTTTTCATTATTTGACATGGTTATAATCATGTTGTATAAAATGCTTTAGGTTCATTGCACAGATCCATCTATGCATAAGACATCCTGAAAATTTCAGAGCCATGGGATTTTTTGTTATAGAGTTATTGTTGTTGGCGTGATGCCTGTAAAATGAGGGTTTGGTGGGCGTGGTCCTGTTGCTATAGTAACAGATGGTGTCAACAACAGTGCCAAACAATTTCTCTCAGTGAGTGTTATCACTGGAGGGACTAATAAAAATGTTTCAAATAATGTAAAAAATTTCCCTTTTTGAAGGTATCATACCACCTTAAAATGGATAAGAATCATGTGATTTAGAACACTGATTGACATTTAAGCTTTCTGCTTTACATCACATTTCAGTCAGTAAATCAATTTCAAAAGGAAAGGTCTAGTGTAAGTTGCTAACCCGAAACAAACCTTTAAGCTAACCTGTAACCAACGGCCCACCACTCAAGTAAGTAAAATATGATTGTTAAGGATACTCAAACGATTCATTCAGCCTAAGTGGAATTTGATTTATCTGTTACGAATTACTTTAGTTACGGATGTGGTTACGTTGTTGTCTATTTTCTATTGGTTTGTAATCAGATATTTTAGCGTCCCCACGCGCGTTTAAAAGCTTCGTTTAGCGTCGCCTTGTCCATTCTATATGTTCGACTCGCCGTTTTTGGTTCCTAACTTTTGGCACAAGGGGGACCGATATGTGAGTAATTTTGCTTGTTTCCTCTTTTGATTAGCTTTCTTGTTTTGGGTGGAAGCACGCTAACGTACAGAGTCGTACAATAGTACAATTTACTGTTTTTAATCTAAAAGGGTCGAATCAAGGAATGAGACGCTAAGCTAGGAATGCCCACTTTGTTAATCTTATGGTCGATTAAAATCTCGAGGTATTTTTATGTATAAAGGCTGATAGTTTCGAAAGAAACTGTTTGGGGCTGCGTCGGTGGGAGTAACGAAATAATTTGGATATATCAACAAAGTTGAAATGGTAAATTGGCCACCGTAATGATTACAAAAGCTGACGTTTCGAGCGTTAGCCCTTCGTCGGAGCGAATAGAGGAATTGTGGGTTGTGTGTGCTTTTAAAGGCAGAAAATGGAGCTACGTTATTGGTGGGTGCATGGCAACGAGAAAAACATGAATAAATTAGTGGAATGAAAAGCGTTCATTGATCCCTGTGGGATTTAGACTGCCGGTTTGAAAGATGAGCTTTTGTTCAAGATTTTTACGGCTTTCCGTGCCACCTAAGTGCAAGGAAAGACCGCAGATTGCCATATGTTGCTTAGAATGATTAGGTAAATTAAAATGTCTAGCGACTGGTTTCGATGTGTCCTTGTCATTCCTTTCCACGTCTCGAAGGTGTTCTCGGAATCGGTCACCTAGTCTTCTGCCTGTTTCGCCGATGTATATCTTTTTGCAATAAGTGCAAGTTATGCAATAGATTACATTGGCGGAGGTGCACGTGAAGTGATCGGTGATCTTAATGGATCGTTTAGGTCCCGATATTTTATCAGTGTTGTGAATGAAAGGACACGTTTTGCATCGTGCACGAGCGCATTTAAAAGTGCCTGGTTGGTCATTAGTCTGAAAAGAACTTCTGACCAAAAAATTGCCTATGTTTTTGTCGCGTTTGAATGAAATGAGCGGAGGCTGCGAAAAGATAGTGCTTGTCTCTGGATCGTTTTGAAGTAATTTAAAGTTTTTAAGAATGATGGATTTAACTGAGTGGTTGTGAGGGTGAAACGTGAGAGTGAATGGAATGCGGTCGGAATCTTCCTTATGCGACGTTTGTAGTGCTGAATGTCGATCAATAAGTTGGGCGCGGTGGTAACCCGCTTGAACGACAGAAACAGGGTAACCACGTTTATCGAAAAACTGGCACATTGACTCTGATTTGTGGTGGAAATCAGAGTCATCACTACATAAACGACGAAGTCTTAGAAACTGAGAAAAAGGAATGGAATTCTTAACGTGAGATGGATGCGAAGACGAATATAACAAGTAATTATGCGAGTCTGTAGGTTTGTAATACACACTAGTGCATAAACCGTTACCTTCAATTGAAACTTTGA